TGTGGGGCGCGGTGAGGAGTGATGGAAACGCGTAGGGGGTGGTGTGCTCGTCAGAGCTCTGTACTGTGACACTAAGGCATCTGGAGAGGCTGTTGTGTCTGAAACAGGAAACACTGACGGACGCCACGTCCTCCAGGACGCCACGTCCTCCAGGACGCCACCACCACCGCTGCCGTCTCTGCTCCATGTTTTTCAGACCGTTGGTTGAAACGACAGATTATTTTCTGGTTTTGTATTTTTTTTTTTCCCTCCTGACGACACTTTGATATAGAAACAAGAACGACGGCGACGCTACCACGACCCCCCCCCCACACACACACGCTCTGGTCAAACCACGTTCCCTTTCAGGGTTTTTTTTTTCACACACAAACACACACCCACACATGCACAAACACCAACATTCAGGCAGAACGTCAGCAGTTAGGTGGCGCTAGAATGCCCTGTGGCCGGTTAGGTTGCTGTTAGCGATGATGCGTACTGTACATCTACGGTACTACAGTTGATGAAGTACTACACTGAGCTGGTACACAGTGTAGTACAGTGTAGTACTGTGTAGTACTTTTCCAAAACCAAGTGCATCAAGGCACAATGAGACAGAGCGACCCCTGGAGGTGGAGTGGAGTCTGTGACATTTCATATAACAATGGTCAAACGATGACAAATCAGACTTAACCTGCAGGTGGCGCCCCTCAGCAGTGAATGACTTCGAAGTTTGAACAGCATCAGTCAAAGTTACAAAAAAGTCCCCGAATAAAAACAAGAATAAAAATAAAAGACTTTGACCCTAAAGTGTTGACCTCTGACCTACACGGACTGACAGAACACGTGGGGGGGGGGGGGGGGGGGGGGGTCATGAGGATTGGCAGAGGTGAGCTTGGACTTTGGGAGACTTCAGACCTGAAGCTGATTACATCATCAAATACACGACCGTCCGACCAGGAATCAACGTTTACCGTTTGGTTTTTGTTTTTTTATTAATTTTTTTTTTTTTCCTCCTCGTTTCGCGGTTGATCCTAAATAAAAATCAAGAGCCGTTCCCTCAGCGATTTGGCTACAAAAATAAGACCACATCGAAGTCTATCTCATTTTGGCAAGTAGATATAGTGCATAAATGAATGAAGTTAGTTTCACATTAACACCTTCAAATGAAGACCTAAACACTGCAGTTTACTGTACTCACTTCAGCAGGTAATATTCAACAGTTCTTTTTTTAACATTAGTTTTTTTTTATAGTCACTACCAGTGGGTGGATGGTCTACGCCCCCCCCCCCATCAGAGGTGGAGGACGGAGCGGCGAGGTGGTCGGATGGAGGAGACGTCCCGCTGTCCGTCCGACCAGGAGAAGGCAAAGTCTGTGTGAGACCTTGATTGGTGGATGTGGGCGTGG